CCCATTTGCTCCTCTCCTTGAAAAGCAAAAGAAAAACTCCCTCATTGGTACACAATCCCCATTTTATACTCCATGGGCAGTGAATAAGACTTCTAATCTCTCCTAGCATTTGTTGTTTGCTGCTCTGTTGAATTTTGTTATATTTCTCTGATAGCTATGGACTTTGAACATTTCTTCATGTGTTTACTTGGCATCTGAATGTCTTCTTTGGTAAAGTGTCTATTCATATCCTGTGTCCACTTTGTGATTGAGTTGTTTACCATTTTCTTGTTGAGATGCTAGCATTCCCTTTTTAGTTTTCTCCAAACTGTTTTATTAGATAGTTAGGAAGATCATGATATAGATCTTAAAGTATATAATACACACATGAATTTTGGGAGGACACAATTCAAAAGAAGTAAGTACAATTAATAAAATAAATTAAAATCAGTATGGCTAAGAAATGAAATGTAATTATTTACTTAAATTATTAATATCGTTTTAAAAATATGTATTATCAGCAACTATACTTTCGAGATGGACTAAAAAGGAACAATTGAATGGATCTATTAAAAGAGATGAACAGAAGATTTCAAAGAGCTGCTCAAGAAGACAAAGCAAAGTATTATAATGGAATGGAGATGGAACTGGAGAACAAAAAGGTAAGAATTTGCTTGACATTACGAAAATGAAGTCAAAGACAAATTTAAGCCTCAAGTTCCAATATTGAGAGATGCTATGGGTAAAATCTTACACGATCCAGGAAGCATTTAAAAAAAATTGGAGGAATAAATAGTCACTATCCCCAAAAAATAATTGTTTTCCACTGAAAATTTTTGCTAAGTACCATTGTAACAAGATCTAATGATAATGAAGAAAGAAATTCAAGCTGTACTGAAGGCTCTGTCAAAACAATGAGGCCTGAGAAAATAAGGGAGTACTAATTGGCATTCAACTAACAGACTGGTTTCAACTAACAGATACAGCCCAGTATGTACTTTCCAGCCTATACCAAGAAATTTGGAGGACAGCTATTTGCTTCTCTGACTGGAAGAGATCTATGTTTATTATCATTCCTAAGAATGGTGATCAAAAATAATGTAGAAATTCTCTAACAGAATCATTACTATCACATGCAAGTAAAATATTGCTAAAGATCATCCAAAACCAGTTAGTACAGTACACAGAAAGCTGCCAGAAATACAAGCTGGATTTAGAAGAGGCGAAGCACTATTGATATTGCCAATGTCAGATAGATCTTAACTTAAAGCGCATTGAGTACTGAAAGTATATATATTTCTGTTTTATTGATTTATGCAAAAGCATTTGACTGTGTGGATCACAACAAACTGTGACTAATACGAAGAAAAATGGGAATCCCTGAACACTTGATTATGTTCATGTTCAATCCAGACCTAGACCAAGAAGCTGTTCTCCAAACAGAGTGAAGGAACCATACACGGTTCAAAATCAAGAAAAAGGTGCATCGGGGATGCATCCTTTATCCACACCTTTTGAATCTACATGTGGAACAGATAATTCTGGAGGCTTGACTTTATGAAGAAGAACGTGGCATCACGACTGGAGGAAAACTCATCAACAATCTGCACTATTCAGATGACACAACATGGCTTCCCCAAAATGAGGACTTGAAGTGTTTCCTTTAGAAGGTCAAGGACTACAGTCTCCAATATGGAATGAAGCTCAATATCAAGAAAACAAAGATTCTCACACCAGCCAATTGGCAGTACCATGATAGACATAGAAAAGATTGAGCCTGTTCATAATTTTATCTTCCTTGAATCCACAACCAATGTTTTTGTTCCCAGCAATCAGGAAATTGAAGGATAATTTTTTTTTTGGTAAAGTCTGCTGTCAAGGACATCTCCGGAATGCTAAACAGCAACCATGTCAGTCCAGAGACCAGGCCATCATCTTCTCAATTGCTTCCTATGCATCTGAGAGCTGGACAATGACTAAGGATTACAGAAGAAGAATTGATGAGTTTGAGTTGTGGTGCTGGAAAAAAGTATTGAACATGGACTGCCAAGGGAACAAACAGGTCTCTCCTGGAGAGGGTGAAACCAGATTGTTCCTTGGCAAGGAATGTGAAACTCCATCTCACATACTTTGGGCATGTTGCCAGCAGGGACTAGTCCTTGGAGAAGGACATCATGATTCAAAGGGTAGAGGGTCAATGTAGGAGAGGAATATCCTGGAAAAACATAGTAACTGTGGCAGTAAATGTAGCAGAGACAGTGAAATTTGCTCAGGATTGCACAAGGTTCAGAGCTATTGTTCATAGGTTTGTTATGAGTTCTAGGTGACTTAATGGGACATAACAGAGCTACCACAATTAACAACCTCCAAAAGGAACAGCTTTGTGAGTCAAAAATAAACTTGAAGCACTTGCTGGTAAATGTAAAAGGACTACAACATACAGTATGGATTGTACCTAAATATGAAGAAAACAAAATCTGGAAAACTTGACCAATAACAAAAACTAAAAAAATCAAATGGAAATCTCTGGTGGCATAGTTCATTCTGAGTTGTGCTTCCAACCCAAACGTGGCACCTCTCTAGTGATTCAAATCTACCAGCAGCTCCTCAAGGGAAATATGGGCCATCTCCTGTTCAATTTATGCCTCTCAAAAACCAACTGAAGTGTCTACTATGAGTAATTTTCATCTCCACAGGAATAAAAATGAGCTGTTGTTTCCTTTAGCACATCAAAACCACAATGGAATATTACTTCAAGTGTACTGAGATGGTCATGGTTAAAGAAACTAGAAAATAGTAAGTATTCTGATGATACATAGAAAGCCTCAATGCTTGTGAGAAATTGTACGGTCAGTCACTTGGGAATATAGCCTGGCAGTTCCTTGAAATGATAAACAGACTTATGTTGTTCTCGTTGTTAGAGGCCACTGAGCTATCTCCAACAAATAGTGAGTCTCTGTATAACAGAAAGAAACGTTGTCCCATTCTTTGTAATCTTCTAGCAATTATACTTAAGCAAATATCCAAAAGTATTGAAAGCAAGAACCCAGGCATATATACCCCAGTGTTTATTTCAGCAATATTCATAATAGAAAAAGTATTAATCAAATCTAAATGTTCAACATCAGATGAATTTGTTGTTGTTGTGAAGTGATGCTTGAGTTGAGTTCAACTCATAGTGACCCTATGAACAATAGAACTGAACCCATTCTTATCCTGTGTCATCCTTATCATTTCTGACATACTTGAGCCCATTACTTAAGTCATTATG